CAACAATACTACAGCGAGAATCAAAGTTACGCCTTCTTTCTTTGCGTGAACATTTGGGCGGCGTTATGCAAATCTTCCCAGATAGTGACGTAGACATGTGGGGGTGTGTTAGAATGAGCCGTTTTAGGTAGGCGTGGCTGACTCTTAACTTTTATAAAGAATATCTCTTTGGATTTGAGACTTTAGTCTTTGCAACTTTACAGATCTTCTTTATGCACCAAGAGCTTGTAACACTCCAAAGAGAAAAGAAAAATTGAAATCGCATCATATGACCCCTTTAAAGAAAAGTGCCTTATATTTAGAGGTGAATGCTAAACTCTTTTCACACTACTTGTCATTTGAGGTGATAAAAGAAGGCATCTAAAAGCAGGGTCTAGATTTGATAGCTCTTTCAATGGCTATTTTATCTACCTGTAAAAGGCAAATGAAAAGCAATCAGCTTCCCAGCATGTCGTCAGTGCCACCCTGTGTCAAAAATCCCTCAGTCCAGGGAATAAAATCTCATGATGGACAGCAAATCACCAGCTGTCCTGTGGTCAGTTCATGCTCCTCTCATTTATCTGAACAATTCACACAAGCAGTGGGCTCGAGACATACATTAGGAAGGAATCGTTCCTTTGACATGGAAGGATTATTCATGGCTAACGTGCTTATCTGTGGCCAGAATATCCAGGCGTCTGCAGAATGATGTTCCTTTTTGGACATAATGGAAAATAATTTCTTTAGACTTTAGTCATTCTCATGCACTTTGCATTTTTACCAAATCACAATAGTTGGAAGGGTGAATTATCTTAGTATTATTTTGTTTCTTTTCTGCACTGTAAATAATCCAGTTCTTCATTCATACATCAGTTTATGATTAAAACAAAAACCAGCTGTTAATAGAGGAAAATGTTATTTTTGAGAATTTAACACGTCTTCTATACATTTCTAAATTGCTATGCCATACTTGCATTTGTAACACCTGTGCAGATAAAAGGGAAAACATAATTGTCAAAGCAACCAGGAAATAATACTTTTTAAATGTTTTTTAAAGAAGTCTCTTGCTCACAGAGGCTGCATTCATTTGATGGAAAATACATTAAAAACAGTAATATAGTGAAATATTACAATTTAAAGTAACTGTTTTCCCTTTGAATATATTTTAAAATATAGGCCTAATTTATTCTTTTCATTCAAAGCTAAATTTTCATCATCCTTTTCAGCATCAGCATCTTCAGTGTCAAATGATCCTTCACCCTAATATGCTGATTTGCTGCTCAAGAAACATTATTAATATAGTTAATTATCATTACATTATTAATTATTATTAATATTGAAACATTTTGATATTGATGCATTTTTTCCCGGGTTCTTTGATGAATAGAAAGTTTAAAAGAAATTATTTATTTGAAAGTAAATTCTTTTGTATAACATTATGAATGTTGCAAATGCTTCAGTATTCTTCTGGGTGTAAATGGGTATTTTGACATTAAATACTTGACATTTTATTAATTAATTTTATATAAGTGTAATGTTTGTACTTCATTCTTAAAAATTGATTCACTCTGCAGGAGCATGTGAAATTCACTGGCCAAAGCAAGAAGGTGATTAAAAGAAAAATGGTTGCAAAGGAAATGGTTGTGACTTCTACAATACACATTTCCCCTTATGCATTCATATAGCATATGATTACATTGTTGATTACAAATAAAATTCATGGACATGTTATGCCTATGACAGCTTTTGTTGTAAATAATCTGTCAGCACCAAGGACAGAGTTCACTTAATAGTGTCCTCCTCACACTGGAAGTCCGTGTGTGTGTGTGTGTGTGTGTGTACTTGTTTATGCTACACTGAGGGGACCAAATGTCCCCACAAGGATAGTAAAACCTGAAATTTTTGACATTGTGGGAACTGGACTGTGGTCTCCACGAGGGAAAAAATTAAATTATGTTTATCTGAAAGTGTAACAATGCAAACAGGTTTTACTTAAGGGGTAGGTTTAGGGTTAGGGGATAGAAAATATCGTTTGGTCAGCATTAACTGAATAGAAGTCTATGGAAATCCCCACAATTCACAGAAAAAAATGTGTGTGTGTGTGTTTTGAGAGAGCGGCGTACCTAAACTTTTATAGGCAGCTTTAAAGTCATTTTAATTTCATTGAGTCTCTCTTTTTGCAGAAATCACTCTTTCTGGTGTCATTGTAACTGTATTATGTCGCTCACGCGCTGATTGGGCACGAGAGGTGATGATGTGTCAGAGCGCGCAACTCGCTGCAAAGCTTTCTTTGAAACGCTCAAGAGATTTGAAACAAACATCTCACAAACCAAGCAGTCGTTCTCACACACTTCAGTTTCAGTGGCAAAAAAAATCAAATAATTCTGCTTTTTAAACACCGCTGCACATCTCACCTCACCTCATCAGAGGAAGAACCCTCTTTCCACAGATGATTTCAACATACTTTCAGGCGTTCTAGCAACTTTTTAAAAAAAATTCTGTGACGCAAAGCAGCAAATAAACTCGAGGAACATGATGAAGCAGCCCATGGAGCACATCAAGAGACCAATGAACGCGTTCATGGTCTGGTCGCAAGGTCAGAGAAGACAGATGGCACTGGAGAACCCAAAGATGCACAACTCTGAGATCAGCAAGAGACTCGGCGCCGAGTGGAAGCTGCTCTCCGAGTCTGAAAAAAGACCTTACATCGACGAGGCCAAAAGACTACGCGCCCAACACATAAGAGAGCATCCAGACTACAAATACCGACCGAGACGCAAACCTAAAGGACTGCTGAGGAAGGACACGCTGTTGACTTTACCGCGTCACGGCGAGCGAGAACTTCAAGCCATCTCAAATTTGGACAAACCTCGACCCCTTCATTTAGCTGCGTCCATGCAACATCCTTTCATGGAGCCGAGCCGGCCAACTGTTAGCACTGCTACCACTGCTTTTCAACATGAGAAACTTGCTTTAACCCCGGGCTCGTTGGCTTTCTCTTCAGCTTTTGGCTATCAGAGTGGACACCGGTCCTTCGGGAGTCTGGGATGCTCGGGTCAGTACGCGCACACTCACCTGTCACCTGCAAACCCCGGATACCTGCTGCCCTGTAACTGTTCGCCCTGGTCTTCTTCCAGTCTCACACCTCCACTTGCCTATATAGTGTTTCCAGGTATGAGCAAGACTGCGGTCAGCTCTACAGCGCTGTGACTCAGTCATTAAAATGTCATTAGTATCGCGGAAAGTTCCGATTGGTCTTTTCTCAGTTCAAGTTCAAGTGCAGCTCGAATAAATGTTGATTAAAATACGTTTAACTATTATTATTAATAATAATTTTATTTGTTTGTTTGTTTGTATGTATGTATGTACTACGGGATATTTGTTTTCACATTGTTATAAAGCCCATTTGCTAGGCTATTATTGTAATAATGATAAATGTTAACTTACTGCTCAGAGCCAAAGACGACTTTTATCACAATCAAATGCAAGACACCGAGTTATGATTTGAATAGTCTTTGTATATTGACATGTTATCTTTACTTGAAAATTTGTATATAAATGGAGCGAATAACTCTTTCAAAGAGATTTTCTACATGCTAAATAGTCAAAAACAACAACAACAACACCACACACACACGTGTTACATTATGATGTTAGTACATATGACCTGCTGATTTGTATAGTGTCCAGTGTCTGTAGGTATTTTAGCAGTACTACAGCATGCGCATTTGAAATAAAACACTTGTTTATTCAAAATAAACTGTCAACTTAACGTGTAGGCTATACTATATTTTAATATTACACAACATAACCGACATTTTTACTTGCATGTAATTTGACCTAACTAAAAAGTCGCAGTATTTGACCTTTGATAATTGCTATTAATTGACAGTCTTGTGATTCATCCACAGGCTGTTATATGAAACATCCTTTGACCGCATTCAAAAGCTGTGACTGAAATCCTTAAGGCAAAACACATTGTATCATTAACTTTTCAATTGTAAACAAATTGTCAATTGTCTGGTAAATGCTTGTCTGTTCTGTTTTCCATAATAAAGGCATATTTTAGCTAGCATTCCCTGGTTTCAACAAGTGCATTACCTTTGTGCTTTTGCCATTGTTTTCTTTCCCATATCCTGAAATCTTTTTCATGTTATTTCATCTTTTTGTCATTTATCTGTCCAATGTAATATATTTATATTGATGTTCTAATTACAAATATGGGTTGCAAATCAGGGTTGAATATTTAGCCCAATTAAAGCTCTATGGCTTTTTTTTTTGGTATCAACCTTTTGTTTTTCCACAATTCCATTTTCTATCTATCTATCTATCTATCTATCTAAGCCAATTCTATATAGCTCATATATAATTTTATATAATTCATATATATACTGTATATATATATAGCCTATAGTTCATCTAACATTTGTAATTTCTCGCTAAAGCACTACACACACACACACACACACGCACACAAAATTTAGGTCCCCACCGTGACATGAGTCCCCATGAGTCTGTGTGTAGTCAGGTTTAAGTCCCCACCAGAATAGAAAAACAGGTACACACACACACACACACACACACACACACACGGTTTCTACAGAAACCGCAGATTATGTCTGGAACACATCCAAATGATTAACTACAATAAACAAGCTACAACTGCATGATATCATGCACAATCATAAAGGTGTTCATTGTTTTTTTTTCATAATTTATTGGATGATGTACAGTACTATACATCTGATCACATGCACCTTAATGCAGTTAAATGCTATAGCATTTTTGAATCCTTGCTCATTCCACAATGGCTCACGTTTTCTTGGCTGTCCTCACAAATGTCATTAATTACTCATTGTTATCAGACTCTTTTCATCATCTGCTGATTCTTCATGCATCAGTAATAAGCAGAGGAACAATCAGAGGTGAAGAAAAGGCAAAGACAAGACTTTATCTCGAGTGAAATGTTTACTCACCAAGTCAAAATGATGCAATAATTAGGTGTGCATTGTAAGGCCTGTCTGAACTGTTCTTAGATATTACACATCAAGTGACTTCAGGAATAATTTGCGGTAGTGCTCAGAGAAATGGCAATTATGATGACTCCTTTTATATTTTTGCTGAAAGTAGGTTGAACTATGACAACTCAATGCTTATCAAGCATCACTTTATGAGTGTGCATGTGAGCCTTCACACTATAAAAAGCAGTCTCACCCTGTCCAGCCTCAGTCAACCTCGACACTTGTCACCACCAACTTCACCAGATCCTAGACGAGAAACGAAGACAGAAGCAGAATGAGTGCCACAGCGCTGCAGACCACAGGTTTTGTATCAGGCGCCATCGGTACGGTTGGAGTTCTTGCTGCCACGGTTATGGATGTCTGGTGCACCGAAGACCAGCAGGAGCACAAGGCAACCTCCATCCACCATTATAAGGGCCTGTGGAAGGACTGTGAGGTGTCCCAGACTGGACTCACCGAGTGCCAACCTCTCTACAGTTACCTGAGCTACTCAAGTAGGTTAACATAATGCGATTTTCTGTGTACAAACTCAATAATGACATCCTATTCATTCAAGTCTATTTCTGAACCTAAATTTGGAAATTTGTGCTGGAAATGATATTTTTTCACTAAACATTTCTAACATTTCTAGTCTAAAAATACTGGTATATAAAAAGTTTTTCCATGTCTCTGAGGAGGTGTTGTCATCTGATCAAGTCCATTCTTAAAGGGACAGTTCACCCAAAAAGGAAAATTCTGTCATAATTTACTCACCATCATTGTATGGAACACAAAAGATATTTAAAAATGTTAGTAACCAAACAGTTTCGATTCCCATTGACTTCCATTATATTTTTTAACTACATAATCAAAGTCAATGGGAATTAAAAAATATCTTGCAGGTTTGTAATGACATGAGACTGAATAAATGACAGAATTTTCATTTTTGGGTGAACTATCACTTTAATAATAAGTTTAGGATGAAATAAAACAAAAAGCATTGATTCAAAAGCATTAATATTCTATATCTAATGTTCTGCTTTCTTTTCTTTTCCCTGTATTTTTTCAGGAATCCTTCAGGCTATAAGGGCTATGATGATAGTGGCGATTTTAGTAGGTGTGATTGCAGTGTTCATCGGATTCTTCTGCCTAAAGTGCCTCAATATGAGAAGCATGGATCTACTGACCAAGGGCAAACTGGTGCTAAGTGCAGGGATTTTGTTTATCATTGCTGGTAAACAAAAGCTTATTATTACTCAGTATCTAAACTAAACCCCACTGATCTTTCAATTTGTTTCTATTATGTTTACAACCTTTTATTGTTACAATAATTCCCAATATAATACACATGGTCCACATCATCTTTGTTCTTTTCAGGCATTTTTGATATTTCTGGATCATCAGTGTATGCTGATCAAATAGTGCCTAGTTTCATGATGCAATACCAGACCCAATACAATCAAAAGCAAGGAGAGAAGGGAGGAATACATTGTGGGAATGGCATGGGCATGGGCACGGGCACGGGTATGGGCGGAATTGATTCATTTGCTTCCAGGTAAGATGAAAAAAAAGATTTTCACTCACATGATTCACAGGTGTCTGTTAAGTGCTGAACGCATAACTTCCTGTTATCTCTATCTTTGTTTTGAATGGTCAGGTACACATTTGGTCCTGCCCTCTTTGTAGCCTGGGTAGGTGGAGCTTTGTTACTTTTGGGAGGAATTTTGAAATGCATCGCATTCAATACAATGCAAACGTAAGTTTCATTCCAACACAGACCTTCTATCTATCTATCTATCTATCTAGATGTTCTGTGACACATATTAGGTTAATGGGTTGTAAGCTAACTAGCATGTTCTATTTTAGCAACACTGATACAAGAGACGGCTATATTTACAATGCCACATCCCAGCGCAGTGGGGCAGATGAAGACTGTCGCCTCCAGAGAATGAGAGGAGAACAACAACAAATTTAATCAAAGAAAAAAAAAATTTCTTGTCAGACCTATGTAATGCCTTGCACTGATGAACTGAAGTAATCTTTTTGAATGCTGAAGATATTTGCAGTTAAAATGTGTTAAGTGATTTGTAATGACTCTATTGAAAAGTCTTGATTATATAAGGGTGAATTGGCCAGATAAGGTGTGTGACACAGGGAGTGTCACATATGCTTAAGATTCAGTAGCTAATCATTGTAAATAATTGTTTAAAATTATAATAAACTTTTGCAACAAATATAATTGACATGATGCAGCTGATTTGCTTGGTTGAGCCCAAAACATGTTCTTCAATTAACAGAGGATGGAGAAGAGAGGGGGGAAAAAAAAGAGTCAAACTAATTGCTGATTTTCTAGTAGGTTGTTATTTTATTGAATATTTTTTAAGGCAGAAATAAACATCTTAAAGTGTATTACAGCTATGTAGATATCATAACATAGACTTGTATTTTTATATAAAGCTATATAAAACTAACCCTAACCCAACCGCTAAAAGAACACTGTCTTAAAAATGTGATATTTACAGAGCAATTTTCCAATATTCCTAAAATATTAAATCTTAAAATACAGTTCAGCCTCCAAAATGGATAGAAAGCTCTTTGCCAACATATAACTTTTCTTTTTGTCATTCACATTCAACGTTAAACCAAGAACATCCTTACACAACATAGTGTTAAATGTGCCAGGAATCCTCTACAACAACTCTAAAAAAGGCCATCGAACATACCCAGAAAAACACTGGTCTCATTGCAGATGTCCTTTGTGTGATCCCTGTAATTATTAAACAATGTTAACACACAGTAAATCTGTAATATGATAATTAAAGTTAATTATTTCTTAAAATACCTGCTAACAGGTGTGTTTTCCTTCAAAACTGCATCTGTCCATGTGACAAAATCAAATCTTCTTTGGACTGAAGGTGTTTTGGCTTGACTCTGGTTTGAAAGGGACTTCATACTCATTTCTGAGCACACTGGCTGTGAGATGATTAATAAAACCAGCAAATAGTCTCAAACACAATTACTGCGATCTTTTCTAGTACATACAAAATACATGGTACTATATTCTTCTTGAACAATTAGGGGGAAATGTTAAAAAAGTAATTATATATGCTTACAGTTTGAGAGGTAGCAGCCATTGGTTGGATCCTGAAAAATAAATATATAGATAAATACATACATAAATAATATATATATATATATATATATATATGTATATGTGTGTGTGTGTTTCTTTCTGAGGCATTTGGCCAAAATCAAAGGATAGTTCAACAGATATTATAAATTACATAGATACAGTTACTTATTACACCCACAGGACCCTAGCATAACTGCTCTTAAATTCCTATTAAACATGCTTTTAATCAGTGGGAGGTGGATGACTTTCCGGGTGATTTGAAAAATGCCCCACAACATCAATGCAAGTTGTACTGAAACACATTTGAATGAAGAGGGGGTTACCTTTGTGGCAAGACAGGACTTGTAGTTCCTTGTATGATTTGGGCTGTACATTGTGAGGCTGAAGCCAAACCTCCTAATGCACAAAAATACCCACAAACTTTTAGTATTTAAAATTCAACTATTTGACCAAGATCGAACATCCAAAGATACATTACAAATTGCAAAAATAAGACTATAAAATGAGCCTAACAAACCAGCATTTGAAGGTTGACCATGGTCTGTCATGGGGTCACATAGTTCGGAATCACAGCACACCTCACTAGCTTCAACCAGGTTACCATCATCAAAATCATCCCAATCATTTACTCCCAGGTCAAAGGTCACATCAAGAGAACCAGACCAGAGGTGATCAAAGTCAGCACTGTGCTCTGGGTTTGCATGGGCAGTATAAACACTGGCTTTATTAGCACTTATTCTGTTCATCTGTCCATCGTTGCATGGCTTGAGTTGACTGTGAATCAAAACCCCTGAAAAGATGATGTGTAACAGATAATTTCAGTTTTATGTGAGGAAAACTGCTTTGCTATTATTGCTAATATGAACAATATATAGCAAGCATCAGATGCTCTAAAAAACATACTTTGAGGTAAAGCCAAAGGTTGAGACTGTTCTAATGCTGGGTCTCCAATTTCAGAATAAAAGTCTCCCGGCTCATCATTGTAACCTGTAGATAGTTTGACAATTGATACGTCAGACTTCTAAGAGCTCTTAAAAAACTAGATGGAGGAGAAAGAGGAAAAACTTCTCATTTAAACTTGATGTACTAAAAAGAGTAAAACTAAAATGAGTAAAATAACAATCTAAGAACCTCATAGACATTCGAAAAACGAATAAAAATGACAAAAACATGCTACAAAAATGTAAAAAGTAAAATTAAACGAGAAAATCTAAAAACAAAAAATTCAAACTATTAATAAAAATTATAATAGCATCTCAATGATAAAACGTGACCTGTGCTGGCAAAATGAGTCACAATGAGCAAATTTTCAAAAATTTGTTATTTTATTTTCTATATTCTCAATTAAAAGACCTTCAAAATGATGTATGATTTGTTGGAATCGGACGGAAAATGAATGAGCTACACCTGTTTAAATTCAAGTCAGCAAAGTTAGTTTTGAGAAAAATTGAGTTAAAGTTTTCTGAAGGTTCCGAAGTAAAATCACCTAGCAACGTTGATTCTTTACCTCCAGTTCTTTTCTTAATAATAATTACTATATTAGTAAGCACAATATAGCTATTTTTTATTTTATCTTTGTTATTATAAAAACACCTGCAAAAAATAAACACAGTAGAACAAATATAAGAAACAAATAATGCATTACCCTTTTCATTTTACATTTAAACAAAAACATTCAAGAAAACAATGTAAAAATCCCTTTAGTGTATTCATTACAAATAAATTGATTATTAAAACTACAAAAGCAATTCAATCAAGAGCAGTGAATGATTCCCTCTTTTCTTTTATTTTCAGATTAACATTAATGAGACAGACGGCCTATATATTAAGACCTACTGTAATGCACAGATCTAATATAATGT